GGAAAAACGTAGACTCGTCGAAGAATTGCACGCGCCGGCGCGAAAAAATTTTCCTCGCCGCCGCGTCGTGGTGCGCGGTTACGACGACCTGTGGCAGGCCGACATATGGTCGAGATGCGTCCCTATTCGCGCGCGAACGCGGGCCACAATTATATTCTGACGGTCATCGATGTGTTGAGCAAGTACGCCTAGGCGATCCTGCTCAAGAGCATGGGCGGAAAGGAGGTCGCGACGGCTCTTCGAAAGATCTTTCGCGAGGACGCGCGACACCCCAGGAATCTGCAAACGGACAAAGGAAAGGAATTCTACAACGCCGACGTGCGCAAAATCCTCGACGAGCGCGAGGTGAAACACTATTCCACGTATTCGGTGATGAAAGCGTCGGTGGTCGATAGACTCGCTGCCGCGCCTCTTGTCGAATTACAATCGTCGCAAACACAGAACGATCCGAATGCGTCCGGCGGACGTGACGCCCACCGTCGCCGAAAAACTGCTGCGCACGGTGTACGGTCGCGCGAATATAGCCGCGCCGGCGAAATTTCGAGTCGGCGATCCGGTGCGCGTGAGCAAATTCAAAACGATCTTCGAAAAAGGCTACACTCCCAATTCGACCACCGAGATATAGCCAAAGTACAAAGGACCAATCCCGTTACGTATCTGCTGAAAGACGTTCGCGAAGAAGCGATAGCCGGAGGATTCTACGAACACGAATTGCTGCGCGTCTCCAATCCCGACGTTTATCTCGTGGAAAAAGTTCTGCGCAAGCGCGGCAATCGAGCGTTTGTGAAGTGGTTGGGAATGGACAGTTCGCACAATTCGTGGATAGATAAGGCGTCTGTGTTGTAAAAAGAAAGAAATACTTAGACATTAGTAGACAACGCTTACTTTATTGTCAATAAAAGTTTACACATTCGTCGATTTGTTTCTTACGTGTTGTTGATTTTTACGATAAAACAATTTTTAAAGCGTACAATATTGTTTCACCCCTTTTTTTTACAACGGTATTTTGTAATGTCCCCACGGAAGCGTCTCCTCGCCGTTCGACGTCACGTATCGCTTTTCGTCGTGCGGACTGAGGGCTAGTTTTTGCTCCGACACGGTGTTAACCTCCTGCAGCGTCGAGCGTATGCACGTCGAGCGATACGTCGTTCTGACGTTCGAATTTTCCGATCTTTTTTAGATTTATGGGAAAATCGATCCCGTCGAGATTCAGCACCGTCGCGTAATCGGGATACGAGCCGCATTGTTCCGCGTTGCGCGTGGCGGGGTACAGAGCGGCGACCACCGCGCGCGCGAAACACGTGTCGTTCTCCGACGGCATGTTGACCACCGCCTTTTAAGTCTTATACCCAGCGGTATTTTCATCCAACATCCCACGCGCATGGGATTACACTTGTTCACGTTCACGATTAGGTTCAATATTCGCGACAACGACCA